CTCAACCAACCCTCCACTTCTTCAAAATCCTAACCTGGAAGCCACAGAAGATTCACATCGAGAGGAACCTGAGAGTGCTTCTTCTCAGGATTTAATAACGCAACAATTATCAATCATTGTGACACAGTTGAATAGAATGGATGCTGAGATCAATGAATTGAAGAAAACGAAAGTGCAGGATCCTGTGATTTCTCCCTCAATGCAGAATAGAAGAACTATGCATACAGAACGGGAAGAGAATGATTATGATTCTCCTTGGTGGAGTAAAAATCCATCCAAGCGACCACATTCTAAGGTGGAGTTTCCAAAATATGAAGGTGGAGATCCTAGAGGGTGGGTGATGAAAGCAGAAAAATATTTTAGGTACTATCAAACCCCTGAAGAATTAAAAGTTGATGTGGCTGCTATGAATTTAGAGGGTGATGCTCTTGATGTTTTTACTTGGATTTCTTCGGGAAGAACCATTGGTTATTGGGAAGATTTAATTCAGATTTTCCAGGAACATTTTGGTCCAGCAGAATTTCAAAATCCAGATGTTCATCTATGTAATATTAAGCAAACTGGTTCAGTCCATGAATATAGACAAGAGTTCGCTAGAAGGGTTTCTAGAGTACATGGGTGGCCTGAGCATTGTTTACTTGGAGTTTTTATTAATGGGTTGAAAGAGGAGTTACAGTATGATGTTAAAATTCAAAAACCCAGAACCGTTTACAAAGCAGCCAGCCTAGCAATGGAGTTTGAATTAAAATTACAAGCCCAGCAAGCCTCTCGTCCAGTTCAACGTGCCATATCAACACGTGGCACTGAGAGTGGTTATAATTTTAGGGATAATAAATTTTATTATCCTAAAAATACAATAACTGCTTCTGCTGGGCCAATTCAATCATTTAATGCCACATCTCACAATCAGAAGCAGTTACCCTTGACAGTTTCCAGCACTTCAGCGTCAGTTACCACTCCCTCCTACATTTCCGAAAGTGACAAGCAGTTAAGGAGAGAGAAAGGGCTTTGTTTTAAATGTGGAGATAAATTCTCTCCTGGCCACCGTTGCAAACCATCTTCCTTTAAGCTTTTAGAAATCACAGAAGACTGTGACGAACCTGCAATGGAGAACACCACCTCAAGTTATGCTGAAGAAAATGATATTGCTGAAATCTCACTTCATGCAATTTTGGGTGGTTCTACCTCATCCACCATGAAATTGCAAGGCACCCTCTTATCTAAACCTGTCCTTATCCTGATTGATAGTGGTTCTACCCACAATTTTATTTCTGAGAAGATTGTGGCAGAATTAAAGATTCCTACACAGCAGATCCCTACCTTTGGAGTGCAGATTGGAAATGGGAATATCATTGCCTGCCGATCTGTTTGCAAGCAAGTGGAAATTCAAGTGCAAAGTCTGACCATCAAGGATGACTTCTTCCCTTTTGCTATTGGAGGGGCTGACATGGTTTTGGGGATTAGGTGGCTAGCTTCTCTCAATACCGTGGAAGCAAATTGGCAAAAGATGTACATGATCTTTTGGGTGAATGGAAGAGGTACAAGCTTCAGGGGACACCTCAATCTGAACGTACAGAGGCATCTTTGCACAGTTTCATGTCCACAGAAGACTTATCTTGGCCTGAACAGTATCTGCAACAACTATTGGGAGCTTATTCACAGGTTTTTGCAGAGCCTAAAAAGCTTCCGCCTATAAGAGAGCATAGTCATGCCATTCCTTTATATCCTGGGGCTGTACCACCAAATATTAGACCCTACAGATATCCTCATTACCAGAAAGATGAAATAGAAAAACAAGTGGCAGAATTGCAGAACAAAGGTTTCATAAGGCCTAGTGTTAGCCCATTTGCTAGCCCAGTCCTATTAGTGCCCAAGAAAGATTCAACTTGGAGATTTTGTGTTGACTACAGAGAACTCAACAAGATTACTGTACCAGATAAGTATCCAATTCCCAATATTGATGAACTTCTTGATGAGTTACATGGCTCTTCTTACTTTTCAAAGATAGATCTTAGGTCTGGTTACCACCAGATTCGTGTTCTGCCTGAAGATATACCTAAAACTGCATTTAGGACACACTCTGGCCACTATGAATTTCTTGTCATGCCATTTGGTCTTACTAATGCCCCATCTACCTTTCAAGCAGCCATGAATGATTTGTTCCGGCCATTTTTAAGAAAATTTATTCTGGTTTTCTTTGATGATATTTTAGTGTACAGCAGGGATTTCCAAGAACATATGTCTCATTTGAGAATAGTGCTGCACACTTTACAGCACAGCGAATTCTTTGCTAATCCCAAGAAGTGTCTCTTCGTTCAAAGGGAGATTACCTTCTTAGGTCACATCATAACACAAAATGGAGTTGCTGTTGATCCAGAAAAGATTAATGCAGTCACTAATTGGCCTCTTCCACAGAATGTTTCAGAACTCAGAGGATTTTTGGGGTTGACTGGTTATTACAGGCGCTTTGTTAAGCACTACGGTCAGATAGCTAAACCCTTGACTGATCTAACTAAGAAGGATTCCTTTCAGTGGAATGCTGATGCCAACAAAGCTTTTCTCAACCTGAAGCAAGCCTTGATTAATGTGCCTGTCCTACAGTTACCAGATTTTTCTGCTAAATTCTCAGTAGAATGTGATGCCTCTTCTACAGGAGTTGGTGCTGTTCTGCAACAGAATGGGCATCCTATTGCTTTCTTCAGCAAGGGATTGTCTTTTTCCAATCGCAACAAATCTGTTTACAATAGGGAATTGTTGGCTTTAGTGCTTGCTTTGCAAAAATGGAAACATTATCTCCTTGGCCGGAAATTTGATGTCTACACTGATCATTGTAGCTTAAAATATTTGCTTGAGCAGCGTGTCACTACACCAGAGCAACAACGATTATTGATGAAGTTGTTACCTTTTGACTTCCAAATTTTTTACAAAGCTGGTACATCTAATCAGGCTGCTGATGCTCTCTCTCGCTGCCCCCATATGTCAGATCTTTTTGCTATTGCAATACCTCATGTAACAGATTTTGATGATTTGCCTGCACTGTTACAACGTGATGATTACACTGCATCTATTATTCAGTCCCTACAATCTAATACCAATTCTATGCCAGACTTTGCATTTTCTGCAGGACGCCTTTATTATAAAGACCGTCTGGTCATTCCTGCTCTTTCTGATTTAAGTACAAAGCTGATCGAGGACGCTCATACAGCACCTATTGGGGGTCATGGGGGCACATTGAAGACTTTAAAACGGCTGCAACAGCATTTTTTCTGGAGAGACATGAAAAATGAAGTTAAAAGGTTCGTGCAAAATTGCAAGGTTTGTCAACAATATAAATATCAGCCCCAAGCACCTGCTGGCCTTTTACATCCTTTGCAAATTCCAGAAAATATTTGGGAAGACATTTCAATTGATTTCATTACAGGTCTCCCAAAGTCGTTTGGCAAAGATGTTATTTTGGTGGTGGTTGACCGTTTTAGCAAATATTCACATTTCCTTGCATTATCTCATCCTTTTACTGCTAAAACTGTTGCTGCACTCTTTTGCAAGGAAATTGTCAAGCTTCATGGCTTCCCTAAATCTATTGTTTCAGATAGGGACCCGGTTTTCTTAAGTGCTTTTTGGCAGGAATTATTTAGACTCAGTGGTACTAAGTTATGCATGAGTTCAGCTTATCACCCCCAATCAGATGGTCAAACTGAGGTGGTCAATAGGTGCCTTGAAACATACCTCCGTTGTTTCACCCAAGATCATCCCAAAGCTTGGAGTTCCTATCTTCACTGGGCTGAATTTTCTTACAACACAGGACATCATAGTGCTACTGGCTCTACACCATTCAAAATAGTGTATGGCCGAGATGCTCCTGTTTTATCATCTTATCAGACTGGAAGTACAAAGATTGAAGAGCTTGATGACTTTATGGAGGAGAGAGAGGCTATGCTTACTACTATCAAAGACAACTTGGCTCAAGCTCAAGCTAGGATGAAGGCTCAAGTTGATGGAAAACGTAGAGAGGTGGATTTCAAACCTGGAGATATGGTCTTTATTAAGTTGCAACCATATAAGCAGCGTTCTCTTGGCTCAGAGGAAGTTTCAAAAATTATCTCCCAGGTTCTTTGGCCCCTATCCTGTTATAAGAAAGATTGGTTCTGTTGCATATGAATTAAAGTTGCCTCCTACTGCTAAAGTACATCCAGTGTTCCATGTGTCTCTCCTCAAGCTTGCTCATGGTTATGATTCTACCTCTCAATTACCTTCTCTCCCAATTACTGATGATTGGGAAATGGCACTTGAACCAGAAACAATACTAGATACTCGAATTCTTGCACATGCAGATCAGTCTGAAATAGAATTGCTCATTAAGTGGCGGGGCCGACCTAAGGAAGAAGCCAGCTGGGAATCTTATGATCAGATTGCAAATCAGTTTCCTACTTTCCACCTTGAGGACAAGGCTGGTCTCTTAGGGGGGGGTAATGTTAGAGTCCAGCGTCCCTTACTTGTTTATTCAAGGAAGGCACGGTTGGATAAAGCTTGAAGTTATGTTGAAGTTATGTAAGGGTGGTTATGCAGACTTAAGTCATTTCAAGTTCAGTTATTTTCAGTTTCTTATCTTATTTTCTCTGTCATGAAGTTAGGAGGTAGTTATTTCCAGTTATTGTATTGTCAGACTATTTAAGCTACTCTTATATGCAGTATTATGAATGAAATGAGTATTATTCAGTATATTTTCTTTGTCTCTATCTAGAATTACAGATTCTGGTTCTAGATATCCTTTTCTCCTTCTCAGATTCTTTCTTTTCTTCTAAATTCTACTTCTCAATTTCCCAAGCCCTATCACATCCACACCCTAATAAAGAACACGGTCCCAAGCACTATAAACATCCCTTCAAGGAGCGCTATCAGCATGCTCTAAGCCAAGATATTCCTCCCAAGCACTATAAACATCCCTAATCTGTCATAAGAAAGAATTTTTTACATAAAAAAAGGTAAATATAAGTGCAATGTTAACAAAATGAAATAATGGTATGATTCAACTCCAGCAAGCATAGAAATTTAATTGGGGTTCAATGGATGTACTTGAAATCTACTAGATACGATGTCTGAGTTCCGGCCCAAGTGAAAGAAATGCAAACTCCCACAGGCCACATCGAATATAATAATAAAAATAAAAGGTTTAGTAACATCGAATAAGATATTCCATTTTTTGCTAGTAAAACACACAACATTGCAACCAATTTTTAATTCAGAAGCCTGGGATTCATGGGTAGAAGAAACGTACATTGGCAAAGTTCTCATTAGGAATTTGAAGTTTCTGTTGTATTCGTACATTAATTTCAGCTAATATCTGCAGCACAGTGCAGATATGTAAACTTGGCAACAGATATAACAAAAGCAGCCCTCTGAGTCTGTAATCTGTATACCCATCACGGCTATAACATGCACAGCGTGTCGAAATCACTACAAGCATTCAGAAGCCGCTATCCTGTCATCACTCTGGTCAAGGGTTACACTGAGAGCAGCGAACGTGGGACCCCAACAGACTTGCACCATAAGCTCAATATTGTCACATCTGTGACAGCATGATAAACAGATCTGCAACGACAGGTAAAATTGGAATCCCCACAAATAAGTAGCATATACTCAATGTAGAGACTTAACACGCTAAAATATTTGTTTGAATGTGACAGATATTATTGAAAGCAGCCAAGGTAGCATAATCAAATAGAAAATCTACACATATGAAAGAACAACATAAACACTCTAAAAAGAAAGAATCAGTATGATTAGCTTTGTAAGAGTACCTTTCCACAAAATCATTCCCAAGATGGGTCAATATTTTAGCTTACTCTGATTTTCCTGACTTTGACTTAAACTGCTCCTGAATGTGACGAATGAGAAGGCTGTTAGCAGCGAATACTTTATCCTCATTCTGCTGCCAATTCATAAGATTGAGTAAACCATCCAAACCCAGCAATCTATTAAAGCTATTTGCATGTTTGCTCTAAGGTGCAGAAGAATCAGCATTCATCTTTATTTAGCTTTTAAAAATTTGATCATACAGGGCCCCAAGATACCCTTCAGGCAGATCCTTTCGATCATCTATTCCCCAGTTGTTTCGAATAAAATCAGTTTTGTCATCTGGAAGTTCATCAACAATCAACAATGTAACCCAAAAACCAATGTCAAACGCACATTCAACATAATCAGAAAATAAGATATCCTGAATTCACTGAGTTATATATTAGCATTATTGCCACCCATAAAGGGGGGGAACGGAGATATCAAATGACATTTTTCAAGTAAAACTAATGTTGGCATTATAAGATGTTCCCATGGATAAAAGTATTACATATCAGTATGATTATATGGTACCCAACACTATTGAGGAAAGTACTAAAAACCAAGCTGATCATTGAATCGGTTGAGACAATTGTTCAAGAAATAGCGGTCCAACCATATTCAAACCAGTCTTGATTAAAATAATATAATTTAACTAAAATATACAAAAATATTCATATTGGAATATGATTTTGAAAATTTCTAGCACTAACGGAAAAATTCATAAGCTGTAATGACATTTTACCTTCTTAATACATCAAAATTGCAGCATATCAATCTATAAATTTTGAAAATTTCATTGACGACTTTAGGGCTTAGGGCATACATGTTAGAAATGTATTATTTTTTCTTTCAATTCTTTACATATCAAAACTATATCTTTTAAGGATTAGGAGGAGAGAATATATATAAATATATATAATATGCAACCTCTTTGACCTACCCAATCTGTCGGGTTACCCCAGTTTAACTGGGTTGGGTTAATCTTGGATTGATTGATTGACTAGACTAGACTGACCAAGTGATTGGGTTACCAATATGACCGGCCAAGTTGGTCCAAGTTTTAATACCATGCTTAAGTTAAATTCAAGCATTGATAGACCCAAATAGGAGTAACTCTCCCAACATGATTTTTTATCCACAAGGTTCAAACCTACAACCTTATTACAAGGTGTTGAGCCCCTTCAACTCAATCCAATCACCGCTAGTTTAAACTAGCATGAAATACTCAAGGTTCAATCAGTACTAAAAGGAATGGAACATGCTTAGAATGGACCTAATGATTTAAAATTATATATGAAGAGAGCTGATGTTAAACTATAGGCCAGAAAAATTAGAAAAGACCAAACACTCAAGCCTTATCTTTCACCATACTATTATGAGCATCTGTATTGAGCATTATCACGGAGTAAGACAAAACATGGGCAGTATCTGCACTACTAAAAGAACTTGGATTGCATTTAAAATAACGCTCAACAAACTTCTCCATGATGCAATCAATCTCCTGTGCCTCACCAAGCAGCCTGAAGCCCCGAAGAAAAAACGTTATGGCTTCACCAAATTCCATGCCTTTGGAGAAAAAAAGCCATATAGTCACCAATCTTGGTTTGATCAAGGGAAGCAGTGTTCTTGAGAAAAAAAGCCACTTCCTCTGGAGAACTGCCAATTTCTTTTATTGCTGCTCAAAAAATCAATATCCTTGGAAGGTTTTCTATTAAAAAGTGATGTACCTTTCTGCATTTAACCCAGGAAGATCATCACTGAAGATGCAAAACAAAAGGTTAGAAAGATAAGAGATGCATTTCATAATGGCAAGCGAAAAATATTACAGATATGATGCAAGTGTTTGCAAGTATATAAAACCAAGTAGTAGATACCTATGATGCATAAGTTACTAGCATACAATTAATACAGGTATACAGTATGGTAACATTTTCATAAACAAATAGAAATAGCTACTACTAAAAAATAAGGAAGCAAGAAAAGAGAGGTTAGTAACCACTCGACACTCTAATGAAACACCAGCCCCTGCATTTTCCTCATCTAGTTTTACCTAATTTGATCAAAATTTCGAGTCAGAAAAAATTTGATAAATGGGTAATAAAAAATTTTGATTCTTAGCTCACCTCTCTCCTATGCTTAGGAGCCCCCCTTATAGACGCCATTACATAATCTTTTTAACCGGAGCCACTACATAATCTTTGAACCATGAACTTGTCTTCTCCATTCTTCTTAAAACTCTTGGCAACTTTTGATCATCCCCATCATTCTCATCACCCTCCTAACCATTACCGTCATTGTCATCAAATGTTGTTGATGTATCAACTGCAGGGGTGTTAGGCATTTTTAGTTCATTGGTAGGTATAACAATGACCTCCAAATAATGAGCTATAGGGGTGTTAGACATCTCTAATTAGTTGGCAGGTGTAACGACAGCCTCTAAATCATAAGTCGGGATGATAGGCATCAGCAATCAAGTACTTATTAATCTTACCCACCTCAGATTCCAACTTGTTATACTCATAAACAAAATAGAGGGGCTAGCTACTTCATACTCAAGAGGGACCATAGGAAGCTTTGACAACCAATCCTCCTCTCTAGCAGGCTCTCCATCAAAATATTGTTGACGTAGTACTTGTGGGAGGTAGTACACAACATATTCCTTAAGTAGGACAGTGATCCACAACCTACTTAAAGCCCTCTAATGTGTATAGGGTTTAAGGAGCACGATAGCTTGGTATGACTGCCAAATCAATTAAGAAAAGAACAAAGAAACAAATGATTTTAAATAATTTTTCATTACACTTAAAAAGTTTTAGTGGCAAGTTTCAGAAGATAAGAACGTAGATGTTACATCACTAGGATCTAACGCTGAAAAGAGCTTCAATAACTCTTTCATAGTCAGACAACATTTACCATCAAAAAATTGAGACCTTTTCAATTTTCACCATCCATTCTAGCATGAGTGAAAATGATTGTACATCCGAATACTACAAGTTATCAAAACAAACTGAGAGTACTTTTAATACATTGGTGATGAACTGATGACAAATATCTACGAAAAAAAATGAAACAAAATAAATTTTCAAATTCAAGATATTTATAAAACCAAATAAATGCCTTTTAAAAATATAAAAATTCAAAAAGACATTAAAGAGATTCTTAATAACTCAAAGACACAACCAAATAGGTTAATATGTTTATCTACTTTGCATGCTTTTTAAAAAAATTCACCTAACATGCAGCTCTCCGAGCATAAGATTTTATTTGCTTTACCCTATTAAGAATATTGATCATATTCTTGTGAACTTTACATTTCCGTGCATCTTGGAAAATCATGTTTACTATGCTAAGAAGAGCTACTGCTCGACTTGCATGATCCACTATCTCCTCCTCCACATCCTCAACAACACCATTGATAAAATTAATCAAACATTGAATACTAACAAAATAACCCTCTAAGATGACCCCAACAAGTTCTACAACATCTACTGCTTGTAAAACTAGGACCTTCAACTCAAAAATAACTGGTTGACCATCAATTTGTAAACTAGTTATCATTAACACATCCTCGAGGCTAAAATATAGTATATTTTGGCCAATTTAAAAGGCCCTGGTTTCAACATCATATGCCTCTATCACAATAGCAAAGAAGAATTTAATATGACTTATCTTTATTTTTTGTTCAAACATGTGCTCAAATCCAAATCCATGCAACTTTTGTTTGATTTTTGGGTTCAAACCGACATTATAATATTAAAAAAAGGCTCTCTTGGAATTATCCAACTACCATCACCCAAAAATTTAAATTGTTGTCGTTATTGTTGAATTATTAATATTGAAAACTGATTGTATCAATAATTGAACAAGTCATTAAAGGATGTATCAATAAACAATAATAATTATTCAATAATATCAACAATTTTAATTTCTAGATGATTGTAATTGGATAACCCCCAAAGAACTAGTTTTCCAATATCATAAGATCAACCTCAGCCCAAAAACCAACAAAAAGTTACAAGGGTCTGAATTTGAGCACATCTTTGAACACAAAATTAAGATAATTCATATTAAATCCCTCCTTGCTGCACTGATAGAGGCATATGAAGTTAAAACCAAAGCCCTCCAAATTGGCCAAAATAAACTATATTTTTGGTCTTGAAGACATATTAATGATAACTAGTTTAGACATTGATGATAAAACAATTGTTTTTGAGCCGACAACCCTAGTTCTACAAGCGGTGGATGTTATGGGACTTGTTGAAGTTAACTTAGAGAGTTATTTTGTTAGTATCCAAGATTTGATTAATTTTATCAATTATCAAGGGTTTAACAAGGAGACAATAGATCGTGCAAGTCGAGCAGCAGCCATCCTTGACATAGGAAGCATGATTGTCCAAGAAACAAAAAAAAATACAAAGTTCACAAGTACTTTATCAATCTTTTTAGGTGGGTAGAAGAAATAAAATCTTATGCTTGGGTAGCTACAAGTTGGGTGAATCTTCACTCAAGTTTAAAAGCATGCAAAGAAGATAAACATACTAACCTATTTGGTTGTGTTTTTAGGTTATTGATAATCTCTATAATGTCTTTTTTAATTTCTATAATTTTAAAAAAGGAATTTATTTTTTTTTATAAATATTTCAAATTTCAATGTTTACTTCTTTTTTTTGTCGATAGTTGTCATCACCTACATACCAAAAGTGGTCTCAGTTGGTTTTAATAACTTACAGCATTCAGATGTACAATCACTTTCACTCATGCTAGAATGGGTGGTGAAAATAAGGTCTTGATTTTTTTTATGGTAAACGTTATTCGACTGTAGAAGAGTTATTGAAACTCTTTTCAGAGTTGGATCCTAGTAAGGTAACATTTACATTCTTGTCTCCTGAAACTTATTTTCTTTTTTCTTTTCTTAGGTGATTTGGTAGTCATACCAAGCCATCATGCTCCCTGAACCTTATACCCACCAAAGGGCTTTAACCAGATCATGAACCACTGCTGTGCTCAAAGAATATGTTGTGCACCATCCCCCACAAGTGGTACCTCAATAATATTTTGATAGGGAGCCTACCACAGAGGATGATTGGTTGTCAAAGCTTTTTTTAGTCCTACTTAAGTGTGAAGCAACTAGCCCCTCTATTTTGTTTATGAGTATAACAAGCTGGAATCTGAGGTGGGTAAGATTAATAAGTACTCGACTGGTGATGCTTAATACCCCTATGGCTTATAATTTGGAGGCTATTGCTACACCTACCAACCAATGAGAGATGCCTAACACCCCTACAACTCATCATTTGGAGGTCTTTGTTACACCTACCAATGAGTCGGAAATGCCTAACATTGTTACAACTGATACATTGACCACATTTGATGGCAATGATAGTGTAAAAAAAACTAAACTTCTATAAAAAAAAAAAAAATCAGCTTCTTTTGGGGAAAAAAAGCTGCTACCGTATTGCTTAAACCAAAAAACTCAACAGTAGTTAGAGAAATAAATGAATATGAGGGTTGTTATAGCCAACGCCAAAAGAAAGTAAGGAAATGAAGGGGAAACAATTTACAAAAAAGAGGAAAAAAAAGGTCAGGCAGGAAATTTTACAGATTGGGTTTCCTCAAGGGGTGTCACCGGCCTCTGAGGACGGTAAGTATGGTTTGGACGCTTTGCCCAAAGCCAAAAGCGCAGAAATGGCACTACGACGCCAAACTCTTTTGCAACCCTAGCCTGCATTTTACAAATAATAAACAATTCAACCACAGAATCATAAGAATGTGAGAAATCATCACTCACATAATAAGTTTAGCACTAAAATGCTCATCCAACAAAAAAAAAAAATCTAAAACACAAAGTTAGATACAATAGACTATCATCAACAATATAAAAGCATTCTGGCTTTAAACTGTTGTATGCATTGAAGCTCCCCATTTGATGCAACTATGATATTGTTAATCCTCATAAGAATCAAGATGAGTGATGTAGATTTATCTGCCATGAACACAGAGATAAACACAGATACACATATATGTACTGCAATTTGATAGCTATGCAGAACACTAAGGTCAACAATTTAAAAATTAAAATCATTTTGGGCCTGGGCCTCAATGAAATTATGATTATCGTGTAAAACTTGCAATTAACAATTTGTACTGCAATTCGATCACTATGCAGAATACTAACATTTTTCATTATTCAATTTTCTTCAAGGAATGCAGCAGTCTTGGGGAAAAAATATAACCACGCAATACCAGACTAAGCTGTTAGCAAAGCATGTTATAGAAGAAACAAAATAAGTTAACACACTGAGCCAAGTTATACAGTTCTTGCAGAAGAGTAAAAGGATGGTAGATTGTTGTACCTTGAAATGGTTAAAAAGCGTCTCCTTTTTCACGCGAAAGCGTTTCACTTTGCTATGGTCTACAAGATCAAAATGTACATCTCTTCCAATCTGTTGTGTAGGATCTTCATGTCATGCCGCCTACAAGAAGCATTACTCACAACCAGTAATACAATTGATTTAGCAACACCGAGAATTCTGGTAAAGTAAAAGAAGCAGTTGATTATAACGAAGTCGAGATAAGGAACTGATCACCATTATAATGGCGTAAAGGTGACCCTCTTCTTTCTTTTCATGGTCTTTTGCTCCCTTTTCTTCCGTCAACCTCTGCTGCAATAATCCACTGCACAAAATAAACTCAAATTTTCCAAAGTATAGCAGCAAAAATAGTAAAAAAAAAGCAGAGAACTAAAACTAAAGCTTAGTTATGAGTCCAACGGTTTACAAGGCACTTCTCATGAAATATATTGTTTCATTGAGATTACAGACAGAAAAGAGGCAGAAAGATCATTGAAAGACATTGACAACATTACAACAATCAGCAAACTAATGGTACAAGTTGTTCACCTTGTCCCCTTGATCCAAGAAATACAATTTCTAATAAAAAGCAACAAAATAACAATATGAATCGGAATTAATTTGGAGAAAAGTGTGACTGCCCCAATGGGCTTTAGGCCCAATGAGTTTGAACCCCAGTCCAAGAGGACTTTGACGGTAAGATCGTTTTAAAACAGAAGCGATCTTTTTGGGCCATGAAACAGACATGATCTTTGGATGAGAGTATTGAAACAGTCATCCCAATCAAAGATACAAATTGAGGTCTGTGCTGGTATAAAAAAAATAAAAAGTTCAGATTTAATTTTATTCTATTATTATACTCTTTACATTTTTTTCACTTTTGAAAATATAGACAAGTAATTTGAAGATAATAATTTTTTGAAAAATTGAAATTATCACAGAAAAGTTAATAATAATAATAATAAATTTAACAAAATTTAAATATCCAGAGGTTGATATTCCGGAAACTCGTTCCATGCTCATCAAATATCAGATTATATTTGAAATAATTTTTATCACTAACATTTCTTAAAAAAATAAATGTATTATTAAAAAATTATAGATTACGAATTTTAAATATAGATCTTTCAAATCAAATTTAGACTAGTTGAAACGATGAGCACGGCCACTGTGATATCGGTTCACCGGAGAACAATAACTGTGTATCAAATCGCCGCCTAATAATTGAAACAAGGTGAATCTTTACAGGACCAAAACTCGGTAGCCTCTTTTCTTCTTCTTATTCTTAATATCTATGTTGTGCCCTGTTTGCGCAACACTAAGAAGTAAAACGCAGCAAATAAACAATAAAATGACCTGTTGAGCGTCGGAATCGGAACCGGAGACTCCGATGGCCTGGGCATGACGCAAACGATCGACACCCGTAGTCAAGGAGTCCATCGCACGAGTGATTCCATCAAGAGAAGTCTCCAACCTCTCTAATCGAGCGTTCATATCACGCTGGTTGATGGCCGCGTCAAGATCCTCTGAGCGGCTGTGTTCCGCCATGAGAGGAAAATGAAAACACCAAATTGTAAGGCTTGCCCAACACCGCAGTGAAATGTAAATCAGCCAGCACAAACTGAGCAAAAAATTACAGCGAGACATACGATCATGATTGAGAAATAAGTATTGTGGATTACGTATACCGATGGAAAGGAGAGCAACGAAAATAGAAGGATGATAAAGAAAGAAAATTGGGCAGACCAACGGTTTCCCTGGATGGATGATCAAATCAAAGGGCGATCAATTTTCATTGGTAGATTACCCCAATTTCCTCGGGAAGGTCCATCACTTCCCACAGTAATTATTGCCTCTGATTAACTACACTGTACACAACCTCCTCTTTAATGAAGACCTGTGTTTGACAAATGACAATGAACTTGGGAAGATGTATCCGTTATAATTTTATATAATAAAATTAATGAATTCTGCTCAAATTAATTAATTCTTTTAAAATTTCAAATTCAAAACGATCTATTATTTCTAAGAAGTTATTTTCCTCGTATTATCTCATCCATTTCACACAACAACAGTAGAAAGCTTCATAAAATCAAAAGGAACGATGGTGTATTCCGTTATTAACAATATACTATTTTTAGTCTTTAATATAAGAGTTTGTTCAATTTTTATTTTGATATTAAATATAAGACTTGAATCCACTTTATTTCTCATATTTTTTTATTTTTTTCTTAAGATGATTGAGTTCTAACCAATACACTTGATTAGTAATAATATTTTTGAAAAGAAAACATATATTTATTATAAATAACGAATTAATTATTTTTTTTAATCTATTCAAATTAATTAACTAACTCTTATACTGAAGACCAGATATAATTCCTATTACATGAAGGGGAGGTTTCTAAGAGCGCTGTGGTAACTTGGGAATCTAAGTAGGGATTTTAATGTAAGGCTTTTCGGCGTGGGGTCTTGTTAACCCTTCTCATCATAACCATAGGATGCTTGTTCCCCATGAAAAGGTAACAACTATCAAGATGATGAAATCAAAGAGACTGATTTTCATATGGCATAGTTATGCCAAGAACTTTGTTGCCACAAGAACAACAAAGAAATAAAAAGGCCATGCTGGCCTAATAATGATTTTCCTCGAGAAACCAACCCCGACATTGAAGCCAAAGTAATTGAATCAATTTAAATTTAAGAAATCCTTTAATATTTTAATTTAAACGTGATATTAAAGTTAAGTTTTTCTCGTTTAGAACTTTTACACAAGGCGATAATGATTAAAAAAATAAAATCATCTTTCTAGGTTTCTAATAAAAATAACATTAGAATCATTTCATAAAGTTTTAAAATTTCTATTTAGGTCACGTGACTTAATTAGGGATTTAATAAATTTAATAACCCAGATAAAAATTTGGATTCTTTAACTGTCTTTTTAAGAGATTTTCCTTATTGCAAAATGGACCATTTGAATTTAACCTAATAAATAATAAGCAGGACAAAAATTAAAAATACATATAAAGAAAGAAAACTCGATAAAAGTGAAAAATCAGATATCAATCAACAAGGAGGTGGCCAAAAGAAAAACAGAGAGAAGGGATCTAATTAAATCTTCCACGGTCTCAATTTTAAACACGCTCCTAATAACTTCATGTCTTCAAGCTTCAAAAGGCCTTGACTTCCTTCTCAGCCCGTTGTCTTCATCCTCAGCCCATATCTGCTCGTGGGATTACCCTGTATCATTTACATTTTGCTCAGCTTGCGGAACAATTGGCGTCTCGTCTCAATTTCAACAAAGGCAACTTTTCTACCAATAGAAGTTGAATTTAGCTAAAAAGATTAATTAATCAAAGTCCGAATCCCTATAGAAGAAATACCTACATTTAATGCCTCAAACAAAATTAATTCCAATAAAAAGATACACCAAAAAAAAAAAAAAACAGTTTCTTCATAACCTCACGTAATGGTTGATGGATGAAATTTTAAGGCTCTCTCCCAGTCGCGCACACAAAAGATGCCTTCCATTGAAGCATAGCACTGATGCTTGTGGATAAATTGCTGGCGGCTAAAACTAGTCAAGGGCAGTTTGAAATTTCTCACATAGGGTCGCAAGTGCCCCATGCATTCCAAACTTCAATTTCTGACAGAGCACCTAAAATTTTGACCATCTAATGGCATATATTAAGGCTTTAAGATTGAACCAGTTACCTATAATTGCCTGCAGGTTTTCTTGGCATAAAATTTTGTCGCATTTCAATCTTCTGCATAAGTATTCAAAAGCACCTAGTGAAAATAGTTCCACTATTAATCTCCTTGCTTGGCGCATAAAAAATAAATGGTTCAAATGCTCTGATTCAACGTCATTCCCTAGGTCTCAAGTAGAAGTTCCAAGTGCTCACGAAGCAAGATTGAGACCAAGGAAAGAGTCTGGGATTGAATGAAATATGTGAAGAAAGGCCTCAGACATTTTTTTTTGAAGTTACTATTATTTATTAAACTGCATAGGCACTTCACGAACTACACTTCAGAGCATTCAAATTACAGCCAGAAAAAGATAGAAAGTGTAAACCAATCACTGGTTCTAGTGATGGAGAATGCCAGATTAAACTTTTATGCCAGATTAAAAGTTCAACTGAGGCTGAAAAGTCTCTTTTACAACACTACAGAAACCTGCCTCTGCCACATCATTCATTATGCAGCCCTCACTTCAAAGCTTAGAACTTAAGCAGAGCACTAACTGGGGAAAAGATAAAGAAGCAAAGCAAGAAAAAAGGCAATGAGTCAACCAACTATACCCTGTATACACTCACTAATCCAAAAATCTTATGTACTGATACAGTGCACTGAGGATGATGAATGACCTCAACTTGGAAGAACCTCCATATAAAAACGGAAGTAAAAAGCTCAAGAGGCTGTGGTCGGCAGATACAGAGTGCTAGGAGCAATGTCACTCCATGGACAGAAAGAATTACATGACCACAAAACTTAGAATAAAATCCTGCAGACACGACCTCTGATGCTGATTGATCTCACTTGTTGCCTATACAGAGTACTCTCCTGATATGACCGCGGTCTTTACAAGCCCATTCCTTAATTTAGAAGGCCAAATTCATCCCACGTAGCAAAAGAACTCATCAATATTGGTTTCCTAATTATAAATCTTTACTGGCTTCTCAAACGTGTGGCGATTCTGGAAAAACAAAACCCATGTATAAATTCATGCAGAGTAACCAAGCTAGACATTGACCCAAAATTAAGTAACGGTTGCACCACCAATTATGACTCAGACTGGTACCGGACAGCTAATGACAAGTCCATAAGGAAATCCAACCTTTCAAGCAATGCTCACTAACCTGATTAACAGTATATGGTCTTTTAGGAGCGTTATCAGCATGCTCTAAGCCAAGATACTGCTCCCAAGCACCATAAACATCCCTCCTCTATCATAAGAAAGAATTTTTTAATTAAAAAATGTAAATATAAATTCAAGCTAACAAATTAAACTACTGATATGATTCAATTTGAGCAAGTACAAAACTTATTTGAAGTTCAATGGACGTACCTGAAATCGACTGGATACAATGTCCGAGTCCTGAAGGTACTCAGGCCGCCCAAGTGAAAGAAATGCAAACTTCCACTGGCCCCATCGAATATAAAAATAAAAATAAAAGGTTTAGTAACCTCAAATATAATATTCAATTTTTTGTCAGTAAAACACACATCATTGTGACCAATTTTTATTCAGAAGCCTGGTAGAAGAAACGTACCTTGGCAAACTCCTCATCTGGAACTTGAAGTTTCTGTTGTATTCGTACTTTAATATCAGCTAAACTCTCCCCTTCATGTATGACCAAAAAGAAGGGATCCCCAAAATTCTGAATTTGCTGCGCATTTCAGATGGAACCCAAAGGTGCAAGAGTTTCAGCATATTATCAATATGAGCACCAAACACCAAAGACATCAAAGTGGAAATTGCCAAAAATGAACGAGATAGAACTCACCATTTGGTTTTGAGCTGTGTCCTTGGTAAAATGGTACACATGAATCAGACGATCATGAGGTCCAAGATTTTTCTCTTCTTCCGGAATCTGCAATTTGACCACAGCCAGAAATGGAAACATTCATTAAAGAGAAACAGAAATTAAACATTAACATAGTCTATTAGTTTTAAGAAATCATTCCGCTCATGTTATCATTTACACATTAACGGTTTTTTTGGCCAAGACTCATACATTACATTGACAGTTGAGCAATTCATAATATTCACTATTCAACAACACAGTGAGAGTCCTACCTCCTCCGCACGTAATGTCCAGTATTGATCATTAATGTTCTCAATCTTTTCCGAGGGGGGGAAGACCTGCATACACAGGCAAGGATAGGATCAACATATAATAATAAAAAATGATATCCTTTAAACGCATCTGCATCTGCACACTGGACTGGAAGATCTCAAGTAAACCCTACATTGAGTTTACTTTTCCAAGTTTCCCAACAAACTAGTCCGCAGTCATACTTATACCTTGTATATTTTGTGATAGAAGACTTCAAGCAGCCTAAGCTCAGCATTGGGATGAGACAACTCCACCTGTCCAATTAATAATAAAAAGTTAAGCACAAATATTTTTGCAAGTGTGAGTAAAAACCGGAAAAGGAGAATGTCAGCAATCATATTTAGAAAAAACAATGCTGAAAAACTCTAACTGCATAACTCTAGCATACATAGCATTCAAGTTTAAAAGACCCCATAAGTTTCCATGTCAGACTTAGATCATGTGTCCTAGTTGGAGGGCAAAAGAGACCGCAGTGCAACTGATTATCAAGTGATAATATACTTACTATTTCAAGGCTCGGGTTCTAACAGGGCCCTTATGGTAACTTAAGTAATATGAATAGGGATGTACTTAAACGCTTTAGAGCATGGGGCTAGCCCATATCAGCACAGCTTAGATTGGAAAACCTAGATGCCAAAACAACCTTGATGAGTGATATACTAAAGAGGTCTTCAAAAGTTGAGAAAGTTGTTCATTTTATTTCATTCCTCCATCCCGCTCTGCATCAAGGTTGAATCAGAGTCCAACAATGAGCTTTGCACCACATCATTCAGCTCTAAGAACTAAATATTGTTGCTTAGATGTGAACGATGCTAGAGAAGATACTTGTTCAGTCAATGAAAGATGAAATGAAGATTTAAAAAAAAATATATGTATATATAATTAGTAAATTTTTTAAAATTGTCAAGAAAAACATTTTTTGTTAAGAAACTAATGCCATCATTGAATATGAAATAATTGAATCAATTGATGGGTATATGAGGAGCGCAATCTTTCATGGATTATTTCATCAAGGCTTCTGCAAATAAAGCCTGGCCTGGTTGAAGTTGATGCAAAGGATGACAATACTAACATTGTTAATCCTGAAGTTAAAGCATTTAAAGAAAAATATTACTCCCTCCGTCCCTATTTAAAGACAACAAATATGTAAAAATTGTAATTTTTTCTTCAAAAATGCCCTTATTTGTTTGGGGGGGGGTTACAAGGAAGAGAATAAGGAAATTATTAAAAAAAAAGAGAATGATGCTTTGGGAAATGAGATAATAGATATATTGAGTATTAAAACAAGTAATTAATTTTTTTTTTTGGGGGGGGGGGGAATAGGACTATGAAAATTCAAGACATCTTGCAAATGTTCCTAAAAATTAGGGACAAGATAGAAATGGTAGTTGTTTCTCATAAAAAGGGATGGAGGAGTAAGTTTTTGGCATAACATTTTGGATTGCCCCCAAATTAAAGTTGTTAATCCCAGTGATTTTCTAAACCTAATATGATTGTTTCTACTATACCTAGAACCTTCCATTGCCACTGCATGGTAAAGATGCCTTTTCATTTTTTGGGCCCATGCATCCACTCTAAAAAAAATTGAAAAGCCTAGTAAGAGTAGCAAACCTAGTATCATTAAGATACATGTTTGCCTGTTCGGTATAAAGAGGCTCTTGTCCATAATTATTGTGAACTCGATCCTTGATGCATTGAATTGGTCTTTTGAAATTTTAAAAATTTAGATCCTTTTCTTTCACACCTCCTTCCTGTTCCCCATCATTAACCCTTTTAATTGGGCATCCAAAGTGGGTCTTTAATAAACAAGGTATGAACCAGTCACCTTCGTTTTAAGATGATCAAGGACATCCCCCACTGTGCTCTGCTTTGGGAGTCTGATAGTATGAATAACAACCTGACCATAAAAAATCAATGAATAATAACAATATGACAAGAGGCATAAACAAGATCAAAACAAAACGAATATTAAGATTCCATACTCACCTCATCCTTAGTGGCATGATTAAATGCAACTTTCAGAGTTTTCAAACCTTGCAATTCTGGCAGTGGAATGTCAAGTACTTCATAGTACAATATATCTGAAGTCTGAAAATAAATTTTCCATTGAAAAAAGGAATAAATTTTTGTATATCAATAATTCATTCCCGAGGATTGAGCGATAACTACCTGGTTGTAATGAACTAGCATGTCAGACAGATGGTCCACCCCACGGTACTTAATAGGCTGTGGCTTAGGTTGTTGAGAGTAACAGTTATGTGGGGTGAGCCTGATTTTGGATGGATCATCCAAACCAAGTTGTTGCGCTACTCTCTCCACCACATCATCGTATGTATAAAGCCTTGACCTAGAAACCAGTATACAATAGATTGTTATATAAGGACGCAAATGCAAAACGGATATACAGAAAGATGTCAGTAGTCAAATATAATCAGGCCAACCAAAGAAAAAAAGTAGTCAAATATAATCATTTACATTCAGCAAATTACAAAGTGCTTACATCTCTAGGCAGAAATCGTCTTCCTTAGGTTTTTCCAGAGATCTAAAGTGAACAACCTAAAATTCATCAAGCACAAACAAGCAATATCAGTAGCTGACAAACCATCCTTATATTTAGAGATTCACAATTAATCTCCTCCAAATTGAAAAAAAAGGGGAAGAAAGAAAGAAAGAACAAGTAAAGGTAATTTTTGTTTTCCATAAAAAATGCAAAGAAACTTGCAAGGTTTATCCCCAGCATCATCCACCCACCTCCAAACTCACAAAACATGGAAGGAAAGTGCAAAACGCACACAGAGAATACCTACAGACATATGGGTATGTTTCCACACACACACACAGCGTAGGTTTTATGCACGCCTAATATATAGCCACACAAATTGCATAAAATCAACGCCACAAAACATACCTGACGATTGTGGACATATTCTAAATATGAAGGCACATCTGGATAGCGGACATGTTCGTCACTATCCATAGCAGGTGCTTTTTGAAAGCAAACAATATCTCCATCTTCTAGCTGTAACATGAAATTCAAGTCAAACAGAGAACAAGAAAGTAACTTGGAGAATCCAGAGTGAGGAAACTTATTTACCTGGCTTGCTCGAAATGTGAGTTTCTTGTCAATAGGTTCACACATGACATTTGGTTCAAACTTAATTTCCTGGACAAAACAGGCATAGGAAACATCAGTTCCCTAATGCAACCAAGAGGAAAAAAAAAACGCATCGAAAAACAAATCACATTTCATCAAAACTAAAGATCTTCCATCCCAAATGGGACAGCACGAACAACATGGTACAACTTATTTGCTATGAACCAAGAGCAAGTTTGATTAAGAGGGGATACATGTCACTAATGACGTGATTATGGATTAAAACCATAGGTCATGTCATAATGACATAATAAAAATACTAATAAAAATGACCTTATTTCCAATGTTAGACTTTTTCCTGCTGTATGTTCATAAAGGCACCTCACGGTTAAGTACTCACTACATTGGAAAGTGTATATTGCAGACCTCATGCAAAAAAGTTGAAAATTGAATCCAAGATATTACCCAAATTAAACCATTCCCAAAACTCATGGAAATGAAGTGACAAAAGAAACAATAAAAATAATTCAGGTTACAAGCCTCTACAGAGAGAATGACAGACATCAAGATTCAGTCCTCCATGGACTACGAAGATAGCGTCACTCAAAACTTGCCTGACCCTTGATGAGAAATATCAATTTCTATTGCTTCAGTTACATAGAATTAACCTAATAAAAATTCCCAAACTCCCACCCTAGATCAAGACCTTCACTTCTTTTTTTTTTTGGATTGATTTGGTTTCAAATGGATGGAATTGATTTTGAATAGAACTATGCTTCCAAGATACAAGGATGCAAACCAAGTTTGTAAAACTAGCATGAAGCTGCAACTGAGAAAAATGACCGAAACAACGCAAACCAACCTCAAAAAGTGCAATCTCTTCCTCAGGATGATAACCAGCCATTTCATTTAATTTTGTTAATATCTCTGATGGCTTACCAAAACTCTTCACAAAAAGCCTTCCAACATATCTGCCACCATAGAAATATAGATCTAACCTCAGCAGGACACGGGGACTTACACACCCCAATAAAGGCAAATCAACAAAATTATACAATACCGCAGTTCCTCTTTCTCAGGATCATATAGCTTGAAGAAAAGTAATATATCATCTTTTGTCTTCTCTGGCGGTGCAATGGGACGTAAATCCTAAATAATAATGCAAAATGTCAACAACGACATGTTTATGCAATCAACTAGAAAGCAGCTTCCATAAATATAAATATTAAGCGTTACCAGCCCCAGCTCCACTTCCAAAAACAACTTTAGCTCTGCATTGTGAACTTTGTTTGAAACTTCTCTCAATTGCCCAACCTGCAACATGATGATGGTTGAGATCAAATAAAAGCCAACTTCTGATGGTACAGATGCTGATTCATGGCAAAACACTAATAGCAGATAGACAAGAAATTCTGAGTTCTATATAACAGCCAACAAAGGATGGTAAGTAAAATTGATTCATAAGCAGAAAACACCACTAGACGAAGTGATAGCAAGTCCACTGACATATGAAATCTAAGATGAGCATACAGCCAGCAAAATCATAACAATGACAGCTTTCAGAAATAAGACAGCATGAAACAGTACACAAAAAATGAAGCTTCTGTAAAAATCCAGGTTTTTTATTTAAAAAGGTACTATCATATTGCTTAAACCAAGAAACTCAGCAGCAGCTAGAGAAAGAAATAAATATGAGGCTTGTTCTAGCCAACACCAAAAGAAAGTAAGGAAATGAAGGGGAAATAACAAAAATAAAAAGCTTAGGCATGAAATTTTACAGATTGTGTTTCCTCAAGGTGTGTCAACGGCCTATTAGGACGGTAAGTATGGTTTTGACGCTTTGCCCAAAGCCAAAAGCGCAGAAATTGAACTGGGATGCCAAACTCTTTTGCGACCTCATCCTGAATTTTACAAATCAACATAAAAAATCAATTAAAGAAAACAATTCACCACAAAATCATAAGAATTTGAGCAATCATAGATCACATCATCGGTTTAACACTACAATGCTCATAAAAAAAAAAAAGCAAAAAAAAGGGTTTGATACCATAAAGCAAGAAACAAAAAACCGGATCGAGCACTAAACCGGTTGAGATAATGGGTCAAGTGTTAATGGGTCAGATCGGGGTTAGACCGGTAATAATTAAAATAATATAATTTAATTACAAAATATTTATGTTTTTCTCTTTTCTTCCTTTTTTTCTTCACATGGCCCAATACAATTCTTTCTTTTTCTTATTATTTTATACTTTTATCTCTTCCTTCTCTCTCTCCCACGTGAAGTTCCATAGCACATATCAGGTCACTTTTTTCTTCCTCCCTCATTGAATGGCTGATTACGCAAGGTCACCTTTTTCTTCCTCTCTCCTGATTGAATGACAGATTACTTATGCATAGTTCTCTTCCTCATTCAAACTCTGAAATTCGTTCCTTCCTCTTTCTCAAACAGCTCTCTTTATCTCTCTCTTTCTCTCGAAGAGAAACAATAAACAGTGATATTTTTTTCCTCCCTGCACATCCATTCTATTCTATTACTTATCTTCCTCCTTGCCTTCCACTCTTCCACGAGCATGGGTTTGAAGCGACAAACAAGAGACTTCTGTCTTTTTTTCCATGATTTTTTCTGCTTCTACCCCTTCTCTCAACTGTGTTCATATCTTCTCCGGTGAACGGTGAGATGGTGAGTAAAAAAGAAGAAAGGAGGGGGCGGAAAAAAAACCGGTGACCCACCCAACCCACCGGTTTTTCCCGGTTCATTCCGGTTTTTTCAGGTTTGATGTGAAGCCGGTTTATTCTTCAAACCAACCGGACTGGAGGCCGGTTCACCGGTTTTTCAGTTGAACCGGCCGGTCCGGTCCGGTTCTTTTTTCATTGCCATAAACTATCATCAATAACCAAAAAGCATTCTGGCTTTAAACTGTTGTATGCATTGAAACTTCCCCATTTGATGCAACATTGATATTGTTAGTTCTCAGAAAAATCAAGATGAATTATGCTGGTTTATCTGTCATGAACACAGATAAACATAGATGTCCTGCACTGTTGCCACAAAAACCACCACTTTCCAAAGTTTTCTTTTCATAAAACCAGTTTTAGCCACCATCAAAATCAGTAAACATTTCAAAACTCCATTTACAACAGCTTTTAATATATGTCATTGATTGAATTTATCATAGAAATCTACCCCCCAGTTCACGATTCAATTTGCATTAAAACAATTAAGCACATTTGGAAGGGCATTTTAAGAGTGGTACCGCACAATGAAAGAGAAAAAACACGTTATCGATTGGGGAGAAAAAAAAAAAGCATACTGCCAAGTCAGTAAAGTTCTCGCAGAAGAGCAAAATGAAGGTGGATTGTCTACCTTGAAAACATTAAATGGCATTTGCTTTTGCACACGAAAACACTTCACTTTGTCATGGTCTACAAGATCAAAATATATGTCCTTTCCAATTTGCTCTGCAAGATTTTCATCCCGTGCCACCTAAGAAGCATTATACACAACCAGTAACACATGTATACAACTGATTTAGCAACTCCCAGAATTCTTGCAAAGTGAAAGAGACAGCCAATTATTAAGAAATCAAGATAGGGAACTAATGACCTTTATAATGGTGTAAAGATGAGCCTCTGCCTTTTCTTTCTTTTTATGCTCTTTTTCTTCCTGTTCTTTCTTCAGCCTCTCCTGCAATAATCCACTGTACAAAATAAGCTCAAATTTTTGCAAATATAGCAACAAAAACAGTTAAACGTATACAAGAACTGAAAACCAGGCTTCATCTCGAGCCCAGCAGCTTACAAGGCACTTCTTGTGAAAAGAGAAATCAAAATTCACTGTTCAATCAAGAGTCCAAGTTGTGACCTAGCATGTGGCTATTTGAATTGGCTTACCACATTTGGAGGTTTTAATTATAAATGTGAATAGCTTCTTACCCTTAGATGCTCTGCAATGTCTTTCTCATCCACATTGCATATTATTTTGTCCTTATCACTTTCACGTATGTACACCAACATATAAGCATTTGAATATTTGGTGAATTTGAAAGGAGTGTTGTTGAATCCAGGATTTGTCTGTGGTAACTGTTGGAAAACAAGACGTTAAACCATGTGTCAAGTAATATTGAATGGCTCAATAAGATCAGATGCCGTGTCCAGTGATAATAAAATAATTACCTCCTCCTCGCCACCATATTGCTCCTCTAATGCCCGTTTTGTATCCTCTTTTGTCACCCTCTCGTCATCAAATTTATACCTGGGTACCAGTCAGATTTGTCATTTACACTAGAGTAGTAAATGGCTAGGACAGCAAAAGGGGGAATATTTCAAGGTTGAAAATGTCTCCCAAGTATTTAAGCCCCAAAATAATTAACTGAAAGAAAAATTATAGTTCTTTAACTAAAGCAGCATGTTCCAAGGCAATAAGTCAGCCTTCCAATTGTCTCTGGCTGCAATGGCCTCAGTCCAAATGTCAACGAAAATATACAGGCAAATGATGCCCAAATACACATAATTTGATATATTAAACACAGTAGTCATATATGCTAGATCAGCTTCCACAGTGAAATACAGGACCATCATACAATCAGTTTGTCCAATTAAAGAAGAGTGTCGCCAGGTAGTATTCAAGCACGCACTCATAAAGTGACGGTTTACAGAAATTTGTAATAAAGTACTTTTCACTTTCCCCAATTTATAGTCAGAAGCAGATCAAAGTTTTGTTGAGTATCATTCTCAACCTCTGAAGTATTGGCCTTCGCAAAATAAAGAATCAAGATAATGGCTTCCGTTTCATTACTTGCCACACCAGATCATGCATAATTACGTCTGCAGGCTATATTTCTCAAACCTTTATTCATACATACCACCTACCAAACTGCTTTCCCTCCCTGTAACAGATTGATGCCCATTCATGAAATGATAACTGGGGACAAAATCTGTGATCTAAATTCTAAAGGCAAACAAAGCATTTTCACCAAAGCATCACTGTGTGGTTAGTGATGCTACTTATGCATGCTCTAGCTCTATTAGAAACCTCCAAGCACAAGAAACTCCAAAGGATACAGCATATAAGAATATAACCAAGAGGGAAAAAAGGACTGCTTTACCAACCACACTCATATACAAACACATCATAGCTCAAAAACCAATAGTCAGTGCAGATAAACTAACACTGTAATGCCTACCATTGATCAGAAAGTGTTGGCCTGATAAATGCATAATAATGTCCACCATGCACACCACCACTGTGAACCAAAACGCTGAGGAAGAAAAGGTCAAATATGTTAAAGTGCTGAACATCACAGACGAGGTAATGCCAACAAATAAATGATGGATATTACGAGCATGACAAATTAAAATAGTAGTCACATCATGTTCTGTCATTAAGTAAAAGTTGACTATAAAAGTATTGCCATTCAATCTTTACTGTTCATTCATCGTGGAGAAATTACCTTCTATCTACTTTCTATTAGATTTTGAAAAGTCACAGCAGCTTCAATTACTACTGGAGGGCCCAACAAAGTACATTTTACCATGGTTACCCCTATATAAATAAGATACTTAATAAACCAAGTTCGGAGACTCCCATTCAAATAGTAAATAACACTCGTCAAAATAGAAAACAATGCACAAACATACTTAGCTTCATTCAAATATAGCAAGCATTACTTAGTCGCAAACGACCAAAGCAAATGGAAAATACCCTGCCCATAGATTGGACAAGGATGTCCAAAGTTTACACAGTTGAGCAAGTTATATAACCCCTCTTCCAAACAAGGAGAAAAAGTCATCAATCAAGTAAAAAAGGGAACCAGCCAGAGCAAGCACTTCATTTTCAATTATACCTGTGAAGTGTATAAAGATTGCGGACAGTCCGATCAGCCTCGGGTGATAAATACTTGCCATTCTCACGATCCAAATCAAGTTGCAAGGGAAACTCATAACGATCATTAATCTAAATGGTGAAGGGGAAAAAGAGACAATTAATCCTCCACACAAAATGTCATACCTCAAGTCCTCAATAAAAGCGGAAAACACATAAAAAAGAGTACAAGTAGTTTAATATTTATCCTCCCTCTCATAGAATATACTTTCAGTGCATGTTACATTTGAATGACGCATTTACACACACACACACACAATCACAAAAGATTGCGGGGGAACCTACAAAAAATGCAAATCAATAACATAGGCCCCAATGGCAGAACAGAGCGCAAATGAAATAGTTGTACCAAGAAAATGTCTGAAAATTAAGTCATGACAATGCAAAGTACATAGGCATTTATCAATAAGGAATGCTACTCTAGGAGGAAAAATTACAATTAGGAGGAATAACTAATATACAGATGTACCTAAATTTTGAAATAATTACATAATTTCTAACATTTTTAACTTCTAGCAGTTTAAGCTTTCAAGATGAAGTGGCTTTTGACATGCTATTGTCAAAGATTCTACATCCATTTCAACCCAAATGCTTAAGCTGTTAGTTGGAAGCCCAATTTTTTAATTAATTATGCTTAAAGCACAATTCATTAATTTAATAAAACAAAGTCGTCGGTAGCACTTAGTAGAAACAGAGCTCTATGATGGGCCTTACAATGTCCTATCACCACAACAGATAAATCAATTTCAAAACAAAATCAAGGCCCCCTTCATTATATGCAAACAAGCAAAAATTAAGAGAAGCATGTTAAAACAATGTTTCTATACGACTACCAACCTTGACCATAGTATCTCGCATAAAGTCATATTCAAATCTTTTGAGCTGAAGCTGAAGTACAGGGGGGAAGTCAATAAATAAAACACCCTTCTTAGCATCCTGAAATAACAATACATCATTATTAAAAAAATGCATCAAGTCGTAGATCAGTTTCATCAAATGAAATTTCTTGGATGATTCCATTCAAACAGAAAATACATGCAACTCAACTAAATATTATGAAATTGTTCCAAGAAAATATCTTTTTTATGCAGATTAATTCATTATCCAGGTTTTCTGTACGTGACTGACTGTAAAATTGACAGAAGAATTGTAAAAATAGAATTTCCCTATTATGCAAAATAGGTTTAATAAAGATACACTAGACTGAGAATTAAATCCATACAGGACATCAAACAGCTTATTTCCAGCCAAGGTAAAAACAAACGCGGAACAGCAATCCACACGAACAAATGCCCATGTGCTCTATTTTGGTCATCAAAGTTACAATAGTCATCATACGCACTGAGATATCCTAGATCTTCTTTTTCTACATTACACCAACACCAACTAATAGTTTCTTATGTCAAATACTCAAGGGACACAGCCACAATTTGTTTTGTCAAATAAGATGATTCATGAAAACAGATAATATAAATACAAAAGAGGGGACAAAATTATCGTTATAGTATAAAGATGTTAGAAAAAACGCTTGCAAATCTTAACCAACCTGCAAACCATACTGTTCAGCATGATATTTGTTATCCCCCTCAAGACGCTCAACTTCCACATACTTATCAAAAGAAGCATATATGTCACGGCAGCCTTTGACATCAAGCTGAAGGTCTAAAATGCAAATGTAAAATAAAATTAGCATCAGGGGACAATCCATGGATTACCAGATAATTAAATTTCAAAAGTACCATAAAAGGACTCCTTTCTAGTTGACTTGTAATCCACATTGATGCACTCAATATAGTTCATATGGTGCCCTTCAAATAACTTTTGTATAGTTCCTTCAACAACAGTTCCCTATCAACAAAAAATATTAAAGTTAAGAACATTCAGTGCAGTTAGGACACCCAGAATGACTCAACGTAAAAACATGCCCAACGTCTCCTGTTACCTTCATTTTGTCTTCAAGTTTTTCAGAGAGGACTCTATTTAGTTCTTGAACATCATGCTGCATGAAAGAATCATAAGTATCCCACCCAAAAGATTTTGTTAGCTCCTTTGTCGCAACACTTGTGTCACTATACTGGAGTTTGTAAAACAAACTTTGTAAGGCCAAAGGGATGCTTCCAGAGGGCATGTCATTCTCTGTTGTTGGCATATGATACACAGCCTGAAATATGATATTGAGAGCCCAGCTACTCCATTATTTACCAATGAAACAAAAGAACAACAATATGAAGAGAAACCGTGACCAATAATGCAAACCTTTCTAAAATAAGGAATATGGTACAGTGTTTGGAGAAGAGAATTCATATAACAAGTAGCTCCTTGATTCTTAAGGCCAACATAGCCAGTCTCTTTCTTTGAGTCATATGACCAGTAATCAACAATCCTACGCACAAGAACCTCCGCTTCAACTATAAGAGTATCATTCACAAGATATCCTCTACTAGGATCATACAATTCACCAAGGGGCATGAAGGATGTGAAACCCCAATCACTTTCTCGGGCATTAAATTGGTGCTGTGTGTCTGCATAGTGCAAGTAAATGAAATTACAACAACATCCTTGGCCAAGGCTAAAGCTTATGTGCATGTTCACTTCTTTTCTCCCTCTTTTTGTTTAAATAATAAATAATCGATACTAGGTTCATCTAACATTCTAACTTCACTAGAACCCATGAATCATGATCTTGCTCCTCATCAATCTTCTGAACAAGGTGCAAGTAGAGATACCCAATAGTTAGAAACCCCAACATAAATGTATGCAAAAGGCAAATGAGTAAATGCCAACAGCCCCAAGACAAGAAAATATGGGTGATGAATAACTAAAAATAATTTAACCAGCAAAATGTACTACTATATACCATAAGAGAAAAAGACGAATACATCGTAATCTCCTTCACATAGAAAAGCATGGGAGCACAAAGCCAAAGGTAAAACACAAGCATGGACCTGTGCAGAGCAATTTAGCTCATACACCACACAACATATGTTAGCTTTCGTTGTTCTCGACACTTAAAACCCATACTGCATTTATAGAGATATTTAATATGAAAATTTTCCATTTTGCATGATTAGCATGGGCCACATAAGCATCATGCATTAGATAAAATAATGTCAATATCAGAAGGGTATCAGAATTTTGTAGGAAAGAATATACATTGAAGGGTTAGCTTCAAGTTTAACAAGTTTCAAGAGTGAAACATCAAATGGGAAAAGGAATAACATAAGAAAAGAAACATATCAGTCAAGTTCAAAATCTAATTATATATGGTTATTTATGCCTTTTACAAAGATACATATACTTCATTATTGTTCCGTTAAAGATAGCATCTTCTGATTTCCCATTCACTAAGAACCTATGAATAAGTCATTATAGTTCCTTGACCAAACTTAGGTATGAATAACTCGATCTTGACAACCTTGTGGACATTCATTATTTTTTAATTCAATTAGGAGGGTTCCTAATTCAATATGATCATATGAATGAATCAATCGTTCTAGTTCCTTCTTCCTTGACCATTCTTAGGAATGAATATCTTGACCTTAATAACCTCAAGCAACTGCCCAAGCAAAGTGTGTTCTATGGTCAATATCAGCAACATAAAGTAACATACTTGATACTTCAGAAGAAATAACATAGAGAAGAAATTTTAGCGGAAACTCACAGAAATATCTTTCCTACCCGTTTGGATTCTCCACAAGAAATCTATAATTAGATATTCTCCAAGCTTCAAATGTTCTTTCATAAAATATAACAAGTAACTCACAACATTTTTTATCTTTTAATCACAGCAATTCTCTTTTCTGTATCATGCTATTTGGCTTGTGATAAAAGATCAAATCGAAAAGACTACCTTTTCTCACAGAGTACTTAGTATGCATTTGGTTTATTACTGCCAAGCTGAATTGCGCATATCTACTCCACCCATAAGGCAAAGTAGCCGAATCCGCAACATCCAAATACATCGACAAGTAGTCCACATTGTTCCCCTTTGGAAAAATAAGCACACGCCTGCCCAGCACAGAACAAGGTTTAAAAGGGGAGATCGCCGAAGATAAGAAAATATGGGGAAGTACATTTAATAACTGGACATCAAGAATCAACTTAGAAGATGTAAGCATAATACCATTTATAACCCCCAACAACGAATATTTCTGAATAGAGCTTCTTTGCATTCAGCCTTGAAAAGTTGTCAATTCTCCATGTAAACCTCGATGATGGAGGATCCTCGACAGGCTGGCTCTCCACGGTGCTGGCAGATTCTGCTTGTGCTACAACTAAAGATTTGATGAAGAAAATATAGTGAAAAAATTTTAACTATCCAGACTGCCAGTATTTGAAAGCTAAAAAGAATAGAGAATAATCAAAACTGACCTAGACTCTCTATTTTCATGCCAGAAAAAAATAAGCAACAAAAGCAGTTAGACAATCAACAAAGTCATTGACAATAAATAAGTTCAGAAGTGCAAACTAACTAATAATCAAAATCTATTGAAAGAATGATAATGGAAAACCTAAACTTCCAATACCAGTTTTCATTCGATTCTCTCCCTCAATTTCAATCTACCGAAACCGAACAATGCATAAAAATATTTTCAACACCTTGAATAATTTAATTAGATCATGTTGAAAATAACAAAATGGGGGTTTCAACACGGATCAAAAGAAAGAAGGAATAGTTAATACCTTCCATTGGTTGGTGATTGTTCTCAGTCAAATCCGAGTGAGGCACAAGCATCTCCTCGTCCTCTTGCTGCTGCAAAGCACGGTCAGAAAAATTATCAGACTAGTTCGGATCCACCGAAGAACACACATATATTTGCTCCGTGCAAGCCCAAAAAATCTAAACGTCCAATGCACCCAAGACAGCAAATTGCACTAAAATTCACTCGCTCAGATCAAAACTACAATCCCTAGACGAAACCGCACGACTCCCCAACATTCCAAACGAGAAATCAAATTGACCTAACTTCATCATTCAGCGAAATTCATGCAAAACACTAAGAACAGTTTGCAGCCAACAAATGATTGAACCCGAAAAGGAAAGAAAATACGAGTGCCCCGAGAGCAGATAGAGTGGAGGAGGGACGCAGAGGGAGTTAAGGAACGTACATCAACGGGAGGAGGAGTCATGACGGTCATGGTGAATATGGGAATTAACCTCCCGTGGGTTATTCAGAAACAATGGAAGATGTCAGATGGAGAGAAGAGAGTGTTGAGGTTAAGACTACTATGAGAAAAGAGATCACCGGAAGCCGATCGAGAGGGAGAAAGGTCTATGGTGCTCGTTCGGGGGATTGGGCATTTTCGTGATTTCCTCTGGCCGATGAACAGGGAAAAATATTGAGTAAAATATGTAAAAGGGCAAGTCGGGTCAAAACAAAAATGTAAAAAGTGAAAACCGTATATGGCCAAAAAAATAAAGTAAAAACCACGTATAATCAGCACCGTCCACTTTGACCGAAAAGAAAATCAGCACCGTTCACATCTAAAATACATCACAATTTCCTTTGCTTTTTTTTGTTTTATAAAAGATTAAAAGGGATACAAAGAGAAATCAAAACCGCCAACAAAAGGGTGCAAAAGAAATAAAGTAGGGGGATGAAATCATCTCCATTATTCTTAGGAAGGTACCATTAAGCATGCTTTTGATATATATGATATTAATATCAATACTACATTTCTCATCTTTAAGAGTTAGTTTGATTTTTAATTTAGTTTTATTTAACTTTTAATTTAATTTTAAATATAAGACACCAATTTATTTTAGCTATCATATTTATCTATTTTTTTAAAATAATCTTTTTAATAATTGTACATATTAAAAGTTCTATGAAATAATAATTCTACCTAATACACATGATTAGTAAGGGTATTTTAGAAAAGACAATAAATATTTGATATAAATAATTAACTTAATAAATTTTTTAATCTACTCAAATTAGTCAACTAACTCTTATATTAAGGATCGGAAATAGTAATATTTTTACTGAATTTTGTTATGTGTAGTTTAAAAATTTGTGGAGTTTCACAATACAAAGATAATCCCATATTACAGACCTCATGCTTCTATAGTTTTGAGGCGTGTGGCGTGTTGTATAAAATTTAGAATGAATTACATAATTTTTTTTTTTACCAGCAGAATGAATTACATAATTTATTAATTGCAGATTTAAATCAGAAAAATATTTTCATCTAGGTCCTATGCCATAACGACTAGGGGTGTTCATGGGCAGGGCTGGGCAGGGTATGCCTCTTGCTCGACACCCAGCCCGAAAAATGAGCGGGCTGCATTTTGCGGCTTGTTGCCCTGCCCAGCTCACAGAAGCCCTAACCATTTTCAAGTTGGGCAATAACGGGTTGAGCAAGGCAGGCTTCCAAGCTCAAATATTGATACCTTGGTGAAAATTTTTTTAGTTAAAGTAAGGATATCTTATAACAACTATAAAGAAATAAATACTTGAATAAACAATAAATTCAACAAATCAATAACTTTGATTTGTCTTAAATTGATATATTTTTTAATATAACACTAAAGTAAGCTTGTTTTTGCATCTTTGCAAGACAACCAACAATGAAACAAACTAAAAGATACTAAATCATATTAGAAAAAAATTAAAAAGATACTAAGAAAGAAGAATTACGCATACCACTAAATGTATCTATGGCAAATGGAAGAGTGGAGAATAATATATATTATTATATATATTATATATCATTATAAGTATTTCTAGCAACAAAAAAAAGAATTATAAATATATACGTCACGGGTAAGGCCAAATGGGCAGGGCAGCATACTGTGCTCGCAACCCAGCCCTGCCCATAATATGTCCAGCCCAAAAATACTCATTTTTCTTTGGGCTATTTTTTTTCCGGGCTAGGCAGGACCATTTTCTCACGGGCATACCGGGCTAGCAGGCTTGATGAACTCTCCTAGTAGCAACCCCCAAAAAAGAATGAAATCGAAGCACATACTTGTATACATAAAAGAAAAGAATAAAGGAGCCAATTTTAAGTTACCAAATTTTTGAGGAAGTTCGCATTTATGAAGCATAAATTTCGGGGAGTTAACTTCTTTTATATGCTCGTATGTAATTTTTTTTTTACCTTTAAACTCATATGTAATTGATTGATCGTTTCAATTTTTATTTTTCATAAATTTAAAATAACTTTAAAAAAGATAATGTTACTCTAAAATTAAAGAAAAAATAATATTTTAATTCGTGGTTTTAAAATAAAATGTAAATCCATAATAAATACAGGAAATAAATCTTTCTTAGTCTTGGCCAAAATCACTGAATGCAAACTCTACAAATGCACAAGATTTATTATAGTTTATAGAAAACAGACTCATTATGGTTTGAGTAATGGGAAAAAAACATAAACCTGCGATCTATATATATACTCATGAAATTGAAGGTCAAAATAATTCATCTAATCGATTTTTAAAAAAAAGAAAAATAATTAGATTAAGTTACTTATATTCATTGTGTTAAATTCTCCAATCACACGTAACTATGTATTTTAATTTTTTCACATGAGTTTATAATTAAACGCTATTAAATACTACTTCCGGTTTTCAAAACGAAGTCTCATAATTAAGACTGAAGGTAATATTAAATATATGACCATATGTGATTAAAAAACTTGATATAATAAATTAAAAAAAAAAACTTAACCTAAATACGTTCGTTGATAGCATCACACTACTTATAAACTATGAGTACGAATTAAGTGTTGAAGAACACAAGGCCCCACCATACCCCATTCATATATCATCGATATATGCTTTCTTCTCTTCCAACATTCATCTAGACGTTTCTCTGACTTTCAGATACTCACAATCAAATAGGAACCTTCTTAGCACAATTTTTTTTTTGCAAATTCTTGGTTAGCTATTTTTGTTAAAGGGTAAATTTACCCATAAAGCTTTCTAGTAAAAAATAATCTATCCATGAAATATTTTTGCATCCGCACCCAATACCATAAATTTTTCTTAGATATAAAAGTACATATAAAAATTTCAAAGTGATGCAAAATTGTCATAATCATTAAGTTAACTAATATTAACAATTTAGCAAACATATTAAGGTTAAGGTGCATTCGGCACCTGAAATATTTTTCTAAAGTATATCTAGCATTTCAAAATATTTTTTATGTACATCCCACACCATAAAATATTTTTTTGCCTTTGATGCTAGATGCTAGGGCTGAGCAACGGGCAAGATTGGCTAGTCCAAAGGTTAACCTATAACCTACCCATTTATGAATAAATAAACATGAGCTAGCCCATAAGTTGTGGCAGCCCATTTAAGCTCGTATTAAATGGGTTACAGGGCAGCCCGTTTAGTTTTTTTTTTTGTTGCAGTTTTTTCAGTATAGCTACTTTGTATGCAACTTTGTGAAACCGTCAATAAATTTTTTATAACAAAAGGCAGACCAAATATAAAATAACATCACATAATATCAATCATATTCAATCACACAACCTTATATATAGTCATTTAATGAAGGAAAAAATATTTTAAAAAATTGAAACTTAAACGGGTGAGTATGGACAGCCTAATACCTTGCCCATAGCTTGTCCCGTTTAATGGGTTATCCCGCCAATTTATAATCTTTTATTTAGGTTAATTGGACAGGTTTAAACGGGTAAAAATTTATTAAGTCACAAGAGGGCTAACGGATAATAGGTTTCTTGCTCACCCTTACTAAGTGCACCAAAAAAAGTATTTTGAGGTGCTGAATGCACTAAAAAATATTTCACGATGCTGAACGCACCTAAAAAAATATTTTAGGATAATAGACACATCATAAAATAATACTTGAAAAATATTTAGGGGCGGTGGATGTACCTTAAACCAACATATTAATCAAGAACTTTGTGCAAAAATACGCATAAGGTTTCCAGACTCATGGGGTATTAAATCAATTAACACCGACAGTTTGGCAAACAATTCTTGCATGTGATGTATAACGTTTTCGCTCTCAACAATCTCATCCGTCACCGTAGGGTCTTTGGCATGGTGCAATGGCCACACAACCCACCCTTTTCTTTGGCTTATTTTCCATCAATGACTGTTATGAAATAACTTGGACGCATCGATTTTCTTGACTAATTTATAAAAATAGTGCTTCTAATCCATAACTCATAAGCTTTGAGGTAAAAAAAAAACCACCAACGTTGAAGAAACCAAAAAAAATGGTGACAGATGAGATAGTTAGGAGGGAAACAACTTTGGCATGGTGGAGGTGCAGTGGCAAACAAGCCGTTGGGAGCTAAAATACTACCTCCGGTCCTAATTATAAGACCCAATTGATTTATTTGAGGAGATTAAAAAAATAAGTTAAGTAAGTTATTTGTAATAAATAAGTGTTGTCATTCCTAAAATATCCTTACTAATTAAGTATATTGGCTAGAACTATTATTATTAGAAGGATTATCTTGGAAAAAAATACATAAATATGAGAGACAAAATGGATTGGGGTCTTATAATTAGGACCAAACAAAAAGTTAAACGGGGTCTTATAATAAGAACCGGAGGTAATACTATACAACGCGTATTTTTTTGTAAGATATATTTTTTAAAAAAAAATTCTTGGTTAGCTATTTTCGTTAAGGGGTAAATTTACCCATAAAACTTTCAAGTAAAAAATATCTATCCATGAAATATTTTTACATGTGCACCTAATACCATAATTTTTTCTTAGATATAAAAGTACATATAAAAATTTCAAAGTGATGCAAAAATATCATAATTATTAAGTTAACTAATATTAACAATTTAGCAAACATATTAAGGCTAAGGTGCATTCAGCATCTAAAGTATTTTTTAAAGTGCATTTAGCGCCTCAAAATATTTTTTATGTACATCCCGCATCCTAATTTTTTTTTTTTTTTTGCTTTGATGCCAAATGATAGGACTGAGCAACGAGCAAGATGAGCTAGCCTGAAGGTTAGTCCATAACCTACCCATTTATGAATAAATGGGTATGGGCTAGCCCATGATTCATAGCAGCCCATTTAAGCTCATATTAAATGAGTTACAAGGCAGCTTGTTGGGGTTGACTAAGTTACAGGGTAACTTGTTTATTTTATTTTATTTATTTTATTTTTACAGTTTTTTTAGCATAGTTACCTTATATACAACTTTGTGAAGCTGTCAATAAATTTTGCATATCAAATGCCAAACTTAGTATGAAATAACATCACATAATATCAACCATATTCAATCATACAACCTTACACATAGTCATTTAA